GAACAAATGGAATCATTTATTTTCATGCACAAATCATAGGAAGTTTTGCAGGTTTTTTACTAAGTTTTCACACTTTGTACCATAATAGCTTGACATTTCGATGAAAATTTAATGAAAAGTAAGAAAGCGCATTTTATCTTAAACTAAAGATCTCAAGTTCCTCTATGTAAATCAAAGGTCAAAATTAAATTTTCAGTCAGATGGCAGCTCATTTTCATGCATTCTTTTCCACATTTTTTGAAGATGATTAGTTTTAAAAGGATTTCGTCTTATACATGATCGAGGAAAAAGATATCCCAACTTCTCATCTGTCAATTGGTGAAAGTCGTAGGTCGCTAACTATTGCCGTTAGCGAGATATTGCGCTTAGACTCACCCCTCTTTCATTCTGGCACGGATATTAGATTTGGTGAAGTAAAAACATGAAAATACCTGAATAAGTAGCTATTTAATTCTAAAGTACTATTTCATAAATATTCAGTTTAAATTAAATTTAACACTCAGCTACTTATTGAACAAAATTATGTTGCTGACGAATGTATTAATAGGTCTAGTTTTATCAATAGCTAGTTACATGAAAAAGAAGCAAAAACGAAATTCTCTTGGAAACGAATTAATTGTATAAATCATTGAATAGCTGTTTACTTTTTTCTTACATACTACCAAGTCTTTTAACTATATAGTATCAAGTGATGATGATAATACAACATTAATAGATTATCTTACCTAAAGACGTCATATATCGAGATCAGTTTGAGTTCAAGGAAATTATTCATAAAAAGAATTTGTCTATTAAGTTTTCTTCGTATATAGAAACATTATGTCAATGTTATGAAGTAAGTCGATTTACAATAGGAAATACCACGTAATGATGGTGATTATCCGTTAAAGAGTATCTAATAGAAATATCTGATGGAGAAATGGGTAAAAAGAATCAATAAATACCAGTACTCTTTTTCTTTTCGAGTAACAAAATAAAATTACAAGTGTCTAATATCGTTGTTGTAGTAAAGCAACAAAATCTATTCGATATAGTGAAACACAAGTAGTTGACCTAGAAAACAAATAAATCAGTAAATTAATTAATTTACTTTTAGGTAGTTCAATTCGTATTATTGAATGCCGTAATGTTCTTAAAACTAATTGGAGTCTAGTAAAAAATCATTTTCATCAAATCAATATAATGTTCTTCTAACAAAAATTAACCTAAAGTTCAAATTATTATTATTGTGTTTCTTCATTAATAGTAAAGATAACCTTTAAAATGATGGATCATACAATAAGCAGTACATATATAATTCGATCAGATAGTGTCAAAGATTTTCAAAAAAAGAAAATCTAGTTTTTTAGTTTCATGAACAAAATTGTATGGTGTTAAGCATGGGATTCTCAAGGATATTGATGAAATAAATTAGAAAAACGATGCATAAAAAAACAGCATTTATGAGAACATATTTTACAATAAAACTCATTACTAAAATATACTTATTGCACCATAGATATGCTAGGAGCATTGACAATAACATAAGGTAATTTTTAATAGGTAATTGATCTGGAGATTCATTGAATGAAAAAAATTAGATGCTAGATAGTGACTAGCTTATTGATGATGTGAACAATGCAACAGCATGTTCATTTACATGATGATACTACCTATTAATACAAGGAATGGTAAACTTAGTAAGAATTATACTGTAATCAAACAACAAATTCGATTTTTTCAAAGCTGACAAAATATTAGTAATTGATTATAAACATGTAGATGTCATGTGAGCGATGTAACTTTTGTAACAGAAGTCGATCTAATATATGGATTACATTGCAAACACGGTAAATTTCCTTAATTAAGTTATCTATCTTACAGCATCAGGAGGTTAATGCACTATAAAAAAAAAAGAATAATTAGGTAAAATTTAAAGAAATGATTGTTAACAGAGTGTTTTTTATGTTCTTCATTATCAAGCGATTTACAAGTTGAAGATGTTCAAAAATAAATTTTGATCATGTTAAATGACGGAATGTTAAATGCATCGTATTGATATTAAAAAATAATTTATTTGTTTCTTTTTTCTTATATTCGATGTAAAATTTACTCAAGCTACCGACTATGAGAATTTACATTTTCATTTAATGATAACAAAAAGAAACCAATATTTGACATCTATAAACATCGAATAAAAATCTCATGCTGTTTCATAGGACTATTCTGTTTCAATTCCAATATTTGCTATAATATATTGCTTTGTTACAAATGCAAGTTGAAAATATGTATATATTAATACAGTTTGTTGGTGATGTACTGTTTTATACATTCCATTTTTATAAAATTTCGCTGTATATTAAATACCATTAAATGCATCAAATTCATTATTTCGATCAGTAGGAGATAGTGGAGTCAGTAGCTACTACAGTTTTCTTTCTTGCTATCTATATTCAGGAAGATTTTGTCTAAAATGAAAAAAAAAGAATAAGAAATGTAGAAACTATTTTTATGAATTTCTTATGTTTACCTCGTATTTTTTTCGACTAGATGATAGTATTGTAGATGATTTATTACTGAAGATAATTCTCCTTCTATTTCATATATCTGAAATCAATGAATGCTAATATTAAAGTATAAAAATATCTTCAACTTCATTTTGTGTATCAATAAGAATTTCTTTCATTTTTTTTGCCATTATTATATTATCGCTAATATAAGATAATCGTTATAACCTAAAGCAATTAAAAAAACGAAAAAACAAATAGAAATTATTTTTGATAAGTTTTTTTTACCATAGGCATACGTAGAGATGTTACCTCTTTCAATTGATGCACAATTATAATTAGTTATGAATGATTATTTGTCCAAGTATATAAGAAAAAAGTCAGAATCAACTATACAGTATAAGCTATATCTATGGTGAAATTTTCATCTTACGCTAACGAAGAGTAAATCCAATTTTTTGAAAAACCTAAGCAAGCTCAGCAATACTTTCAATACAGATTATTTAATCTTGAGAATTGTCTACAAAGATACATTGATTAGTTTTCGAAAATATTGCTATCATTTAAATTTTTTCAAAGTAAAATTTATGAAATGAAAGTAAACATCCTTCTATGAGTCATGTTGTTAATGCTAGATTGTTAATGATAGATTAGCTCTAGAAAAGTTCATTATTTCTTCAATATCTGATTGAGTGTTCTTTCAGATATTTCAATAAGTTGTTTTTGTCACAACAACACTAAAGATTTTCTCGTCTTTTACTTAGAAAATTTTTAAAATGAAAGATAAAACAAGAAAGAAAATATATCTTTATTGCACTCAAGATATGTCAATTCTGTTGATCGGAATTTTCATGTTTTTTGTTTTTTGTTTTGATTTATTTGAAAATAATTGAGTTTCTTCTTTATTAAACATAAGACGTACAAAAGTAATAGAATAAAAACTCACTTTGTTTATTATTTTGTTTAGACACGAAAAGTATCAGGTGTTTGTGAAAAAAATTCAATTGATGAACATCCATTAAATTATGATAAATCTGATCCATTTGATATTTGTGCTGCATTCTATGCACTAGTTTATTAGTATGAAATTTAAAAATGAAATCGAATTTAATGCAAAGTAATCTTCAATTCTTGTTTAGTGGAAATCCATTAGTGAACTATCTATCAGCTGGTGCAGTCTATTTACCGAAATTTAAAGGGCAATTATGTCGTGTTACAAAAGCAACTGGCATTGGAAAATAATTTGTTGATCTTAAGATTTCAATCAGTTACTTTTGTTAGAATAAAAAAAAAGAACTATTTCTTAATTCTATTTGATTATTATTAACTTTTAATGAATATATTTATCATTTTTAAAAATTAATTTAGCATTAGAACGTTTTTATTTTCTTTAAAAAAACAAATTCAACTAAAATTGTTTAATCATCAGTAAATTAATCGAAATGCTTCGCCTTTCTTGTCGTTTCTTTAACGATAAATTCTAATACAAAACCTTCTTTAGTTAACACTTATAAAGAAATCCGTTTCTAAAACGAGAATTTAGAATCAATACATTTGTTTGAAATGAGTTTACTTCAGTAGACATTGAAATTCTATGATAATATATCAATAAATAATCTCGATCTATAAAACGACATCAATGCAA